ACTCTACATAAACCACATTAAGGACCATCATTGGCTAGGACCGTAACATCGGATGCCGTTCCCAGTACATAAAGCGTGGCATTATGTACTGGAAACTGCTTCCGCCCAAAACCACAATTACGGCAGCAACCTGCTGTGCATAAACCTGTCTTATACTCTTTGCATAAACTAACGGGGTTTGGTTAGAAAAATGTTACCTTATTCAACTCACTCAAGCTAATCAATTTCAAAAAATTAAATTTTGAATCAAGATCTAATTTCAAGTTCAATAATCAAATAGTCGCACAAATGTCATGTGATAATTGTCCTGCAATAGTTGTGTACCACGACCTAGTTTTTCCACTAAATTACAAATTTATTATTGTTTTCTTTTTTTGAAAAATTTGGTTGCATTGTTTTGTGTAAATCAAGAAAGTTATAGCACTGCGCGCCAAAATAGAATCAGCCAATCATATGTTAGGGTCGTGAGATAATTGTCGTATGCATATCTTGGATAAATGAGTATATTGTATGTATATGGATTCTCATGTATACAGTAGAAGTCAAATCTGAATCGATGTCGAATAACATGTTTCAAAAAGAATAGAAATAAACTATAATTATATTCTACAAAGTATTATTATATTATAAATATATTCTAGAAACTATAACTACAATTGCAATTTTTTCAAATTGTTAGTTTTTTTCAGCTTAGAAAGATACCATAATACAAAAACTAACCAAACAAGATTTCCAATAACAAAAATAACAATGAAAATATAAAATATATTAGTTTCATGCTTTGATATATCATATCTATCTTCTAAAGGGAAAGAAGAAACATATGTAGGATAGAATGTCACTTCGCACACGTTTAAACAAATGAAAGCAAAACAAAACCATACATACCAGTCCAGTAAGGTATTATATGGTAAAACAGGTAAAGCAGATGATACCACAAACTTATATGCAACAGCAGTTAATAGCAGAGTAAGCGTGATAGACAACCTTGAGCTTGTATCCATTTTACTCCCATCTTCATTTAAACCGAAGTTAACTAATGACAGACAGGAAATCACAGCAATCGGAATCATTGTGTTGCTGATGTAAGAACGAGAACGACGGCTGAGTAAAATACTAAACGTTATTCTGGGATACTCATAACCTGATGATGACTCACTTCTGTCGCTTTTGCTTACGATTCCAAACATTGTTTCATTAAATACTATTTTAAAAGCTCCATCATGTTGAAAACTTCGACATAAAAATTTACTTGTATATTCAGTATTATGAATAAGAACTACACCGGAACATGGTCGATTTACTGTTAGTATGATATTTAATACTTGTTCATCAAAAGGAAACATTTTCAACTCCATTCCTTTTGAAAACGTTGCTTTGGCTTTCATTTTTAATGTGTAATCATAAAACAACTTAGAATCAACTGATCGTGATGATAATGAATAACTGTTGTAAATTTCTTTTGACTCTTCTGATTTAATATTCAAAAAGTCCACATGCTCCAAAATATTTAAAATTTTTAAGTATTCATTAACATATAGAGGATCGGATAAAGTACTTATGTCACGAAGACGCAGTTCACAATAAACAGACGCAACAAATGATTGACCGACTGTATCAATTTCATCTAAATTTAATAAAGTGCATCGACAATGTACATATATTGGAGATGAAAAGAAAGCAAATCCAAGCGAGTTTTTATCATTATTGTATGAGTTTTTAACAATGTTAACATTTAAATCTGCTTCAAGAGGTTCTTCTACTTCCCATTCATATCCTTCTAATTTATCAACTTTACAGTACACAGCTTCATCTGTTACTTTGCTGATTCGCCACATTCCACCATATTTTGATTGCTTCAAGCATAATATATTATTATTGCTATACCAATCTATTTGTAAATTTTTATTAATAGGAGTTTCAAGGACAATTCGTAAAAACATTTCTCCTGAATACTGGTTCACTATTTCGCTTTCTAATATCCTGGAATGCCATTTTTTTTTCTCAGAATTCGGTTGGCTATTAGAGTAAATCATAATTGATTTATTTTACTTGCTAGAAGTATTGTCAAAGTTTTTCCAAAGTGATTTCTAAGTGTCACATAACTTATTTTACTTGCCAGAGACAAAATGTTTACACATGACCGAGATTAAAAAATTATAATATAGTTTAGTTAATTAATAAAATATTCTTAGTTACTGCTGCGTTAACTACTTTAATACTATTTGAAATACAAAAAAAAAACATACACATACAAAAAGATTAAAAAATAGTTGAACCGATTGATTAATAAGAAAAAAAAAGTTAATAATGAAACGCGGTCAACAAAATCACAGTAAAATTTGGCAATTAAAATTAAAATTAGGCAAAAAAAATCACAGTAAAATCTGGGTCTATTCAAATGAATAACCTGTGTGTCATTCCTGTTAATATATATTTCGTTTATATAAAATTAAAAATTGTATCACTATATCTAGATTTTTTCTGCATGTTTACTATTATAACTACAACCTATTGCTGCAGTTATAGTTTCCTTAGTTACCAAGCTTCTCTACTTATTCATAGTTTAATTATTAAATATTTTAGTTTAACTAAGTATTAAAATTAATAATTTAATAATATATTATTTTTACAGTCTGTCACTTATATATTAATCAAAATTATCTTTAATTCATCTAATTTATTAATTTAATATTATTTCTTCTTTTTTAATTTTAAATTATTTTAATTAAATTTTTAAAATTTTCACCTTTATTATCTATGTCCGTGAAATCTTTACATAAATGAATTTGAATTCGGCTAAACTTTGCTGGCAAAAGTTTACACGCTTTGCTTTTTGAGCTATTTTTAAGCTAATGATATGGTAAGATTGACGTGGATAATTCTTTTGATAGTACCGTTGGACAAAGATGCTTGAACTGGCTTGAATTGATGTAAAAAAAGGGCGGTTTGTGGTTGATGAGTTGTCTTATATGTCTTGATTTTCTATAGCATTGTTGCTGTAACTTTTGCTCCATTGTATTTGACGTAATCAATGCCGTGTTTAAATTAAACAACCCATGTCCAAACTGTCATGTGCAAGTAGCGTCGTATGAGTATGCTAAATTCAATTTGTTTAATTGACTTTTCAATTTATGGCAAATCAAAATTATGCTCCATAAAATCTTTTTTTGATAGAATGCGTTTGCTAGAAAACTAACTACATATGCATGCAAGTTAAGAAAGCAAACCTACAACTTATCTTCAGTTGGCCATGACCAGCCGTGGCGCAATGGTCAGAGTTCTTGCTCAGAACCGAGAGAGTAGAGGTTTGAAACCAGCTTTTTACCGTGAATACTTCATGAACGCAACATATATACGAAACTTAAAATGGCGACATATAAAACATTGGTAAGGGAACCTCTAGGTTCTCTGTGATAATTTAACCTTCTGATTAAATCTTTTTCTTGAAGCACCTTAATGAATAAAACAATTTTGCATCCTGAACTTCTTAGGACATTATCAAAACCAGTTTTAAACTAACGCGGAACGTTTAAAAGACATTTTGAACAACGTAAACAATATTTTTTTTTTAAATAGAATGTAAACAAAAATAAGTTTCTAATTTAATGGAAAAATTGTTGTACGACTTGTTGTTGTGCGACTATATGGAAAATGGAAAGCAACCTAAAGGAATCGTTCGCAAATGTTGAATGCACTTCTTTTCAAAAATTTTTGTGTTTTTTTGTTCTTTCAAAAAAAGTGCATACTTACATTATGATAATCCTTAAATGCTTTTAATTAAATTAAAAACTATAAATGTTTAAGATATATATCATTCTTTTATTCTATAAATTTAAATTTAACGGTATATATTTTTGAAAAGCTTCGTTAACATAAAAAATGAGCGTGTCGTACATCTCCTGAACATTAATTGCATCGAAAATGTTTACCCAGTCTACGTTTGTAAAAAAAAAATTGTTCATTCCTACGAAGTCAGCTTTTTTTAACTATATTTCTGATGGTTACAATTACAAGATGTCCTTTGCTTATATTTCCCAATACCACATTTGTCTCAACTTGAAATAATCTTTGGTCGTTAATTGTGAATAGTAAATCCAATGTACTCTTGTAAGTTGATTTGTTTAGTTGAAAAGTAGGTATCGCAACATGCTGAATTAGAAATTCGTTGTTTATTATTTGCGAAAAATGATGTTCTATCGAGTGTTCACTGGAGTTTATTGCATGGACTACTCCATCTGACCATTCAATTTTTGGAAAATTAAAGTCACGCATAATTAACAGGTCTTTAAAACCCCGTTTATCCACATATTCGTTGCAGTTCTAAAAACATTTCTGAACAGTTCCATTTCTATCACACCGTTTGGTCCGTATATGCATCCTACTAAATATTTGTCGTTCTTGAAAACTAGTATAGTCTAAATTTGTTTTAAGCCAGTCGTTATTAGCCAGTTTTCATTTACTTCATAAGAGATTTTGCTATTCACGTAAATACAAACACCTCCGCCCACACGGTCATCTTTTCTGTCGCTTCGATATAATCAAAAACTTTCCACGCACGTAATTCGAATTTAAGTCGTTTCTTCCTCAACTCAAAGTCCAGTAGTCTCTCGGCGTCTGTCAATTCTGGGCTTATATAAACTTCTTTAAAATTTTGTATTTCTCTTAACTTTTTGACGCCAATAAAAGAGGATTTTTCTCGCCTTTGGATAACTCGAGTAGAAACGGGCCAGGTTTGGCAGCGTTTTTTGATTTGAATCTCCTAAAATGTATCGTTTTAACATTTTTTTTTCCTATTGATTTCATTAAGTCCTCGATTGCTTTCTTGTCTTCTTTAATTTTATCTTTGCTCTCAGTTTTACGCGACTCTTTAATTCCATATATAATAACGTAATTCCATATATAATAACTTTTCTCGTTTCTTTGGGTCCTCCTGCTTAATAATGGCTGCGTTAACCACAACTAGTTGTTCTTTTGGTTTTTTCGCGTTTCGCGACACCACATTAACCCAATCATTTCCAATCTTCACTTCTGGAGTCACAGCATTTGTTGTTTTGTTCTCTAGCGTTTTTACTCTTTTCTCCAATTCCACAATTTGATTATCTTTCACAACAATCGCTGTTTCAAGAACAGATATTCTCTTGATTAGCGCTTCTATTTCTGTCTTGGATACCATTTCCGAATTATTGTATTATTGTATTTGTTTTGTATATTTCCCACGGTATAACGTATAAAATATGTATTTGTATATTTTTCTGTATATATTATTTTATAAGTTTACTTTACCTCCATAGCAACGATTAAATTTTGACTTAACCAAGAAATTCTCCCCAAATATAACTTTTAATGCTGAGAAAGAGCTTGTTGAAGTAAGTTTATAATTTATTTCTATTTTCCATTAATCAAAACATCTGTAAGATTAAAAGCAATAACTTTCTTATTATTTCTCATTATTATCTTCCAGATGTTTCTTTAAAACGAATTGTCATTATAAAGTATATATAACTATCTGTGCATCTGTTTATGAATATGTTTATATTTTATGCTTAACCTTATACTTATAATGGATAGTGAATGTGTGAAATTTTTTACTCAACACACACAAAAAAAACATTTCATGAAAATCAATATACTTTAAATAAAACTAATTCAGCAAAAACTAGTCTTCTACTAACAGATTCACAAAGCTCAATAAATATATTTTACTAGCTGGTCAGACCCGTAAAATACGGGTGTTGGTAATTGTGCTCCATACCGTTTTACTATATGCAATTACTATATATTTAAACATAATAATAAAATAAAAAATATAAAAAAAGTATATCTACTTAATCAGATAACAATTGGTAGATTAACCAACAACAAAAGTACTAATTAAAGATGTGGTGTATTAGTTACTCACCGCTCCTTTTCTTTACCATCATGAGATAATAAAGTTAAAATAGTCAAAACAAACAAAAAAAAAATTATAAAAAAAGAATATAATACAATGTTTGTTTTTGGAAAAAATACTATCCTTTTAATTTAAAAACATTACTGTTTTCATGAACTAGATAAGGAATACACAGTAAAAATAAAGAATACTCAGTAAAAAATTATTTTTTATGTCCCAGTTTTACAAATTTTTTGTTAAAACTTATTAGGTACCCCCTAAATCAATGCTTATCATGTAAATTATTAGCGTTGTTTACAAAATTTTAACTGACAATAAAATGTTATTTTAACATGGACAATGATAATCATTGCCACATCAGCAAATCACCTGAACATGCAAAATATTAAAACTTTATTATTTTACATGTTCTGCTGACTAAAATTTTGATGGTGTTAAGTGTAGAAACAGAATTTTTATCTTTTTGCCAAAATTTTTATAAACATAAGTTAATATATATAAAGAAATGTATTTCTTTACAAATTTCTTTTTACAACAAAAACCAAAAAAAAATCAATAAAAATATACATATTAAACTACATATTCTATTTCTGGATAAAGTTATATACTTTGCCCATTCCACTCTAACTCCTCCCACTTAACTTTTGGTAAACTTAATATTTTAATATAATGAGTGGAAATCTTTTCTCCTAATCTGCGCCCACACCATTAGTAGTAAAGCATGAGGTACACCATTAGTACACCATTAGTACACCATTAGTACACCATTAGTAGTAAAGCATGAGGACCTTTCTTATTATCTCAATAGCATATAAAGTTTATAACATAAACGTAAAAATAACACAAATAAAAACAATTAAAATAGCTGAATTATATTTTAGTTTCATAAACTATTAAACCTACAAAGCATTTAGTTATCATTTACAGATAAGAGTGTTGCAGCAGCTACTCCCCAGTATTCACCGTACGATAGCCCTTTATTGAGCAAATTATTTTTTTGAACAAATAAAACAGGCCATTGCACGCCATCAATTAGGCTTATTTGCTGAGGCTTTGCGTTTGTCGGCTTGCATTTGCAGCTGATATAAAAGTCTAAATACTGGCCGACTTATTTGGGAATGTATTCGGCCATGATTGGCTAATAAATTTATATATTTAAACCAATAACTGCGAATAAGTTGGATTTTTTAATATGGCGCACATTTCCGATTAACACAATCATTTTGGACCAATATTATTGGAAATAAGTTATTATTATTATAGAACTGTATTTAGTTTTGAAGTCATATTCAATTTCAAAGTATAAATATATATGTATTATGCACATATTTTTCCTTCATAGTTTGAGTTTATTTACATTTTAGCCTTAATAAAGTTTTTATAACTTATATTTTATATACATATATATATATATATATATATATATATATATATATATATATATATATATATATATATATATATATATATATATATATATATATATATATATATATATATATATATTATATATATATATATATATATATATAAAAATATATATATATATATGTATATATATATATATATATATATATATATATATGTATATATATACACACACATAT